CTTTGCCTCCTCCCTAATCTCTGGTGCACACGGCTGCATAGGGACCAGCGTGCTGTGCTTAGCATCCTGGTTTTTCGTCTAGTCCTTCACTGGAGAAAAATAAAATGCTTCCTCATCCACACTCTTTTCATCTGGGTCCATAACATTCTAAGGAGTTCTTAGCCTACCTGTAAGTAGCAGCCAGACTGTTTTAGATTTGTGCATCTACCTACATTTATTTCTAAATAGCTAGAAATCAAGCTCTTAAAGGAACTTCAAGCATCTCAGTCATTCAAAATCTCTGCTACCTTGCCCCTTCCTTCCTTTGTGAATGCTATGGCTCTCAAATGTAACAAAGTTTCTGAAATTGCCTTTCATATCAGAAACACTAGGTCCTGATTCTGTAAATTCTAAATTAATAGAAAAGCACATGGAGGTGGGGAGGGGGGATAGAGAATGATGGTGCTGAGAATCTCCGAAGATGATTTTGATGTGAGGCCAGATTTGCAAACTCCTGATCTAGACAATGCGGTGTCACAGTGCACTGACACTGGATTTAGCTGTGCAGGCCACCCCCTCCCCAGATGACAGGCAGTGGGGAGAGGCGTTCCTCCATTTGAGTTGAACTTCCTGGCCCCAAACCCAGCTACCCTACTTCTTACTGGTTTAATGAAAGTTTGTAGCATGCTTTTTAATATTTAGACAATAGTCATGACTAGAGAGAAATAAAGAATGATGAGAGATTTCTAGTTTGGGAATTTAAAAGTTGGAACCACCACCCTTGAGATGGAGATTTCAGGATGAAGCACAGGTGAAGGAAAGAAGGTGAGTTCTGTTGAAGGAAATATGTTAGGCTTAGAAGATCTTTGGAACATGGGCTTTTGATGAAATGGGAAATGAAAATTTGTGTTTGTTGAATGAAAAAAATGCCCAGATTTTGTAGTTTTTCTTTTATCTTTCACAATATCATTATACATAGGCATGCATCATTTTTACAGTTTGTCATCCTCTACTTCAAAGGAATGGGATAGAATGCTGCTGTTTTATGTTATGGCTTCAAGTAGATATTAAATAAATATGTGTTGAATACATAAAGAGCTGAATGGTTTCCAGTCAATAGTGATCTTATGAAATATAATAGTAACTTTAGATTATAGTAATCCATTTTCATTCAAATCAGTTAATACTCAAAAATGTATTGAGCACCCCCAAATTTCCAAACATTGTAGAAGATCACCACAATAAACAAGACAGAGTCCACTTCCTCAAATGGCTCACAAGCTAGTAGGGAAGGCAGACAACCAAATAAAGTGGTAACTCCATCACATAATAAATGTGTGCTCAGTGAGGTGTAGGGTGGGTCAGGAAGAGTTTTCAGGAGGACATGGTCTCCAAGTTAAAATCTAAATAAGAAGTAACATTAATTAGAGAAAAGGAGAGCAACAGTTCCAAGCTTAGGGTATCATGAGCAAATGCTTTACCGGTAAAAAAGGAAGTATTCTAAACATGTCAAGTAATACAAGATACAATTTAAGCAGAATGAATGATTAAAAGCCAGGGCACCAATTAGTAGTCAGCCAGTCAGGCACAAACTTAAGTCCCTAACAGTGCCTCTCAAAACGGGGTTCACAGACCTCCAGTGTGAAAATGACTTGGTACTTGTTATACACACTGCTTTGGGGGCCCAAACCCAGACCTTATGATTCAGTGTCTCCAGAGTGGGGAGTGGGAATCTGCATTTTTCACTAGGTCCTCAGAGGCTCCTAGGTGCACTAGTATTTGGGAACACTCTGGTCTAACTGCACAATGAAAAGGACTAAAGGCAGATACTTGAAGACTCAGGAAAGTGGTACACAAAGTGCCTCTTCCTGTCTCAGACTTTAAAGTAAGTCATATCCAACTATGTAAGGACAGCTGCAGCTCTGTACACAAAAGAAAAGTAATTGCTTATATATCACACATATACCCAGAAAAGAATACATTGAAGAATAGATCAGTCTTTGTGTCTTAGAGAATAAAATAAAACATTGATAAGGTAGGAATTGAAAGGTATTTGTAGCCTATCAAAGTAGTAAGCAAACAATGTTTCTGAGTCAGCTGTTAATCACTCAAAACTCAACTGTACCTCTGAGCCTCCCATAACTTCAGAAAGTTTGTTTTACTTTTCATGCCGAATTTCTCCAATTCATAGGATCTCAGATGTGTAAGGAGACTCCTACTTGAATAGTTCCATCCCATCATATTATAGAGAAAGAAATTAAAGTCTAGTTAAACAATATGGCAGAAGCTGCACATGGTAACTAGTAGCCAAGATAGAATGAGATTTAAGTTTCTTGATCACCATGTCAGTGTTCTATCACAGAGAGCTGATCCACAGTGAAAAAATGCAGAAAACCTTGGATGCAAATCTCAATCTTCCCTGTTGTATCTACCACTTACTAAGCCACTTACTAGCCAAGTACCTCAGTCAAGATATTAAGCCTTTCTGTGCCTCATTTTTCTCCAAAAGATTGCCTATTCTTTACACAGGGATATTATTTAGCACACGGAAGTGTTTAATAAGTTTATTATTATTATCATTACTGTCATTATCATTCCTAGTGACACATGATAAATACCGCACTGATCATTAGTTCTACAATACCATAGTACCCAAGTACCCTCACTTGGTTATCTATATTTTTTAATGTCTACCCTATTCTCTCATATCATTAATTTACAAGTTACTTTTAAGAGTAAAATTTGTAACCCATAATAGCATAATTGCTTGTTCTTTTTTAATATCTGCTTATTAGCAGAGGACCACTGTCCAAAGAAATGTCACTAGGTCTTCAGTGAAAGTAACCTTTCGCTGAAAAGTGTTCTCTTTAAATACAATGTGCACAGGAATGCTAATTCACACTTTCCTTTATTACCCAATTTATTTATTCAGTGTCAAGATTTAGACACCAAGTTAATATTACTGCAGTTTCTGGCTATGTGGCACTTCTGCTTTTGGAGTTCCAGTTACTTTTAATACTGTCAAATGTAGTAGTTACAGTGTAAGTAATAATATGGTTTTTCCTAAGCTCCTACAATTCCATTGTGCTAAAAGCCTACATGTCTCCTAAAATATGAGTGGAACCTCTCAGAGACCTCACAATCTAAGTCTGATATGGTGGAATTACCAAACCAGTTAAAGTAAATGTCAGGCTTAGGTTATAGGCAGCAAACATATTAACTGTTTCAAGAGTCAAAAAGTTGGCCTGAAAGAGGATCATTTCCAAAGTGAGTCATGAATATTGCATTTGTGTCTCCTTAACATTCTGCTTAAGAGTACTGAGCACTGCCTAGGAGAACTAAACTTGGAATTCTTAGGTATCAGCTCTCTGTGATAAACAGCTAAAAAGTAAATGCTGAACTCGTCAAAAAATATGGGCCTGTTCTGTTTATTCAAAGCTTGTGGTCCCATTTGATTTCTTGTACTCTCCTCCCCTGAAGAAAGAAAGGAAAATAAATAAATGGAGAGCTTTAAAATTAGAAATCATATACACCTCATTTCAGATTATTTTAAAAAGACAGTTAAGAAGAGTATACTAGCATTGGCACAGATAAGTGAATACTTAGAGAAATAAGTGAAAAGGTTTTCCTAGGGTAAATAATCACATACTGTGTACTACTAACTTTAATAATTTGAGGGGGATATTTCCCTAAAAATAGACTTTCTATTATGCTGACATTTTATAACCACTTATGAATTAGAGGGGGAAGGACAGCAAAAACGTGTGCTTAATGAGAGGTAAAGTTATAATACATTAATCAACTACTAGAGCTTAATATCTGTTCCTCTGATATTACAATATCAGTAGTCTTCTCTTGATCAGGAATAAAACTGAAAACAGAAGCAAAATATTTGATCAAAATAGAATTAAAGAGATAAGTTTCTAATTGTGAACAGAAGGATCTGGGGGAAAAAAGGCATTAATGAAGGAGGAATTTAGGATGAAAAGATCAAATTCAGTTCCTTGACAATAATGCTGGAAAGGAAAACAAAATGAAGACAGTTATGTATTATTAACAGGGATTGAAAGAAGTAAGAATTAAAAAACATCAAAAATTTTAAATGGCTTTATATTCCCTTAGATGCTGAATCTGGAGACTAATAACCGACATTAGTAAGGAACAGTTTTTGTGGGCCTCGTATTCTTTATCATCAAAGTGAAAGCTCTGAATTAGATTAGGGATATCAAATTCAACACCTCCATGCTGGCCTCCCACTCTAGCTCCCATGGCAAACACTGATAACAGACCAGGGAGTTTCCTTGCTGAGACCAAGGACTGAACCCTGTGACCCTTCTCTACAGAGCCTGGTGGCCACACCCATCAATCCTTTTATTGCTCAAATTGGAACCAATTTGCTTTTCTCAGTATTGACACTAAAAAACGTATCTTCTAGTTTTACACTTCCATATTTTCATAACTAAAAGAAGTATTCTGTAAACATAATTTTCAAATGTTTAATTTGGAAACTAAATTTTTTTCAAAAGAAGTATGAATGCTAGTAGAATCAATATAAATAACTGTTTACTTAAAATTGCAATACAAAGATAAATTTTCAATTGGATCTTATGCATTCTCAGTTCAAACTGATAGAAATCCTACCTGCACAGTTTGTGAGCTAGTCTTATATTATTTGTAAAGCAGATATGGAATGATTTATTTCCACATTATTTTTGCTTATGTCCAGGAAGACTTTTCAATTAGTGGAACATTACCAGTATCTACAATTGGTTGGGATAAAGAAATGTACTGGATGATGTGTATTATGTAAGCTAATTTATGACTTTTTAAATGTAATCAAGAACCATGGCAAACTACAAGCTCCTTGAGTAAACTCTAGTGACCTGCTCAAGCACTCAAGTAATTAAGAGCAGACCCTGATATTACTGACCAGATGGTTTTATGGAGTCTTTTTTTCTGTTTCCATAAAGCTGAACTTACTACATTGCTAAAAATCTTCTCTATTTCCATTTCTAAATTAGAACACTGCTTTGGTGCTTGATCTCGAAAATGAACTGAAAACAATGGTACTATGCCTTCATGGTGCAGGAAATTTCAATAACAGAAAGAAGTAACTGAAAACTGTATTCCTAAATAATTATTTGGTAAGTTTCTTTTTGAAAGTTTCTTTACTTCCTAATTATTTCTTTCCTACCAAGGATTGCCCTTTCAAATCTGCCTTATAATTCCAAGTGCTAAGTACTACTTTTTTCTTGTTCACCCCACCCACAGGAATCAGGGAGAAAAGACTATTTAGATTTAATTCTGTAATTAAATCTGGACACCATGTGAAGTTTTGTAGAGATAAGTATTTTCTAAAGAGGGGCTAAATTGTGAGAATCTAGTACATAAACAAGTAGGCCCTTGGAGGCCCAAGTGTGAAGCCAAAAAAAACTGTAGGTTGCTTTAGGAGGAGATGAAATTACAAGCAGAATCCATGAGTTTTAAGTGAGGAATACTTATAGGTAAACTTGGCCCAAGGGACTTCTCTGCTACAACCTGCCAGTTATAGTCTATTATGAGAGAAATGTAATTTTTTTAAGTGATAGATACTGGAAAAACTAAAGAAAATAACATCAGAGAGATATAAACAAAAAAATTTAAACTTACTGACCTAAAGTCCTATTTTACTGGAGTTCTAAAGGAAGTAGTTGTCACCCATGGAGCAGGCAGGTGACAAGACATTAGTGATTGTCCAGCTGAAAGTCTTGCTACTTTCAAAGTCTGACATTCCTATTCTGTACAATTCCCCTGAAAAGTGATTGTCAAGAGCTTTGTATGGTCTCCATCTTTCAAAATTTCAGAATACTACATATCAGGCATTATTTTTTTCATAATGATATTGATTTGTTTGTGCTTGTGTGAAAAGTCATTATCACAGAGTCATGACTACTGAGACAGCTAATTGCAGTTAGAGAAATCCTGATTAAATGTGTTTTCTCCATGAAACCTAACTACAAGTTTTACCTAAGCTGTACAGCATTTATGCTACATATTGCTTTGAAACTGTTTTAAGTAATTTAAAGTTCAAATTGATATTCCCAGTGTATGTTTGGAAGGGTCATGTTTGGAAGGACTAGAAGAGGGAAAGTGTACAAAGGAACACGAAACTTCCAGGCTTTAAAATCAAGTTGTTCAGAAGCGACACCTCTCAGAAAAAGGAGCTGTTGCCAAACTAAGGGTGGCAGGCATGAGGCTAGACCAGCCTGCAGCCACTCACCTGAACATCTGTGTCCTCTACTGTTCCTTGAGACAGTAATGTTTACCTGTGGCTGTTCATTTTGTTATTTTTTATGGAGACAAAGTACCAAACTTCTCCAACTTTTCACCCAGCTTCTGTCCCATTCCTGCCTCTTGACAAAGAATTTAAAGCATGTATCAATACTCTTCCCTTCATCTGGAAAGCGAATTGGTGTATAATTCAATAAGAATACTGGCAGAGCAATTCATCAGTTTTTCTTATAGGAGATCATAGGTTTTATGTTTGTAAAAATCATCACGTATCTTAAATAGAATAATCAGAACCAACAGAAGTCAAGGCATGCCAAAGCAAATTAGAAATGTGAAAAGATTGTCTTCCTATCACTACTTTTAATTAAATGTTAAATTTAAAAGTTATGAAGTCATTTTTTCCTATCCTGGGACTTTTTCTTTATTGCTATGCAATTAATTTATGTCTAGTATTGCCTCTGTATGTTTAAATTTTTTATGGTATCAGCTACTGCTTTTAAGTTTTAATACATGTTTAGTAACCTCTTATATGAAATATGTTGGAAACCACTTCCATTTTCAAGCAATTCAGTTTCACAAACATATTTCCAAACTAGCTATTCTTATGTTAATCACAGCATAAGTTGATGTATCAGGGAAAAGAGAAATATGGCAAATTGGGTTGGATGGTTTGTGTTAAAATCCAAATAAGAACCCTATTATCAAACTGTATCTGTATTTAACTGCTTTTGAAAAGTTTTCTAGGCAGATTCAGTAAGAGTTAAAGCATTATTTTTAAATTTAATGCTTTTGTGAATTTACATTACACATTAAAATCATCTTAATGCACCTTTTTGTCAATTCCTCACAATAGTATTACAAAAGGAAGGGAGGAGAGGATACATTTAAAAAGCAAATAAAAAAGAACTCAATGGAAGCCTATTAGGCTACCTGTTGCTGAGCATGTAAGAGAGTCATTAACATGCGGATCATTGACATGATAGGCCATAATGACTCCTCCAGGGACGGTTCAGTCTATTGTGTCAGAGACTAGGTAGAGATTCATTAACGTGAAGACTTGTGGCTTCTTAATATGCAAATTATTAATGCAATGCACTGAGACATACCTCACAAATGTCCACATTTTGTGTTAAATGTTTTCTTTACAACTCTTCACCCACATCTTTTGTGAACTATTATCTTAAATCCTCTGTTGCACATTTCTTCACAAAAGATTCTGTATTCATGTAGAATCTACCACTTCATATTCAAAGACCTCCTCCCAAGTAAACCTTTCTTAAATCAAAGCCTACATTTCTTTGATTTAAGGCAGGCTTATATATATATGAACTACTTGAACACTCTGAGTACATCAGTTAAAATTCACAAAATCTAATTTGACATAAAGCAACGTCAAATTGGTTTTTGGCTAAAGACAGAGCAACATGAAAATAACTTGTTTTTAAAAACGAGACACTTAAATGGAATAGTATAACTCGCAGTTGAATAATTTATACTAAAGGTGGGTGGGGAAAGGCTAGTAGAGTAGACAAGAGAAAGAGAGCAGAGAAAAGTCCGAAGGAGAGGACATAACCAAAATAAATTAAACTGAACCAAGTACAAAGAATAAGTATTCTTATTAGTATAAAACATTAAAGGAAGAAATGCATTTGAGCCACTCAGTGTCTGGCATACAGCAAGGAACCTGTAGGTATTAGCTATTATTATTATGTTGGCATTTGCCACTTTGCAAAAAGTATGTAGTTAATATATACATTCCCTTTTGAAACAATAAGAAAAATATTATGGAGTGATAGTTGTCTTTGAATTAACATACTATAAAGAAGGGAATCAAACTTACATTTTTTATTCCTGCACCAGAATTAGCTACAGAATTCATGGAAAGATAATTAAGTATCTTTTGAAGCTTATCCAATACTATGTATGGAGAATGCTACAATTTTTCACCTGGGACTTTATATGCTAACTATTTATATTCATTTTCTTATCACTTTATTACTCTAGCCTCATCTAAAACACAATACCTTCTCTACTAAATATCAGAAGAAACAGACTCTTATTTCTAAATTATAAACTCCATAAACCTTAAACCCTGCAGTCGGTCTACAGAAGTCTATTTATCATAAAACGTTCATATCCCATACAAAATCAGTAATTTATTTTACTGAAGTTAACAGCTTTATTGAGGTATAATGTATATACCATAACATTCACCCATTTTAAGTGTACAATAATTCAATGATTTTTAGTATAGTATATTTACACAGTCACCAGAAACCAATCTTAGAACATTTCCACAACCCAAAAAGAAACTTTCTCCCATTAGAGTCGTTCGTCAATTGTGCTCATTAGAATCATTCGTCAATTGCTCACCACCAGCCCTAGGCAACTACTAACTAATCTTTCTGTCTCTCCATATTTACCTATTGTGGACACTTCATGTAAACGGAATCATGCAATATGTGTGCTTTGTGTCTGATTTCTTTCTCAGAGCATAATGTTTTTGAGGTTCATCCATGTTGTATCATATATTAATACTCCCCTTTTATTGTTGAATTATATTCCATATATAGATACACCACACTTTGTTTATTCATTCACCAGTTATTTGGCGTTTGATTTGTTTCATCTTTTGGCTCTTATGGATAGTGCTTCTATGAATATTTACATTTAAGTATTTGTGTGGACAATTGTTTCCCTCAGGTAGATACATAAAAGTAATATCACTGGATTTATGATAACTCCATATTTCACATTTTGAGAAACTATCATACTATTTTCCCAGAAACTGGATACACCATTTTTGCAGTCACACCATTAGTGTATGAGAGTTTCAATTGTTCATGTCCTCACCAATAGCTATTATTATCTCTTATTAATGATAGTCTAGTCAGTGTGAAGTGGCATCTCATTGTGATTTTGATTTGCATTTTCCAGTGACTAATGATGTTGAGTACATTTTTATGCTTATTGGTCATTAAAATATCTTCTTTGGAGAAAGGTCTAGTCACATCCTTTCCTTATTTTTAAATTGGGTTATTTGTCTTTTTATCATTGAGTTATAAGTATTCTTCTGAATATAAGTCACTTACTAGATATATGATTTGCAAATATTTTCTCCCATTCCATGCATAGTCTTTTCACTTTCTTGATCCTGTCTTTTAAAGTGCAAAAGCTTTTAATATGGATGTCATCCAAGTAGTTTTTACTTTTGCTACCTTAAAGAAATCCTACATAGTCTTTATTTGATTAAAACTCTATGAAAAGTAGGTAATATTATTTTACAATAAATAATCTTTATTAATACTATTAGCACAAACAACTAATTACACTTCACATTCTTGCTAGTGTTAATTTCAATCCTAAATGCTAGAAACAACCAACAGTTGTTGGTCCTACCAAAGTTCTAGACTGGAAAAGATACATGTAAGCAGATTCAGAGATGATGCAAATGAACGTGTAGATTCAAAGGAAGAAGTCCCACTGGTTTAGGCAGCTTACAGTACAAACACCATCTTATTTTCTATGGAGTCTACCACTGGAAGAGATGGAGTAAGCAGAGAGGGGCTCATTAGTGTCAAGATGACTCTTCCAGTTGATGGCTTTTGGGTCCCTAAATAGAGCAAAGTCCATTATCAGGAAATCCTAAGAAGATGAAGTGAGAAGGGATCACTAAGATAAACTAGTACAAGAGCAATGTTGTACTTGGGAAGGATGAGTTGAGAACCATATATGAATCGAAAGATAAGGAGTGGATGACTGACAAGGTTGGGTCACAGACTGAAATTGCTGAAGGAGGCAGGTGCAAGAGCCAGATTCTGCTGAGATGGCCATAGTTACATCATCAAAGATGAGAATCTCGTCCACACTAACA